GGTAAACACTGGACGAAATCGTTTAAATAAACAAAATTTTGTTTATCTTGTCATTCATATGTCATAAAATTTTTTAACCGTATAAACTTAGCGTCTCAGTTGTTTCTCGTGTTGCGAAACTAGATTTTAAAATTTTCGCAGAGGATAAAATGAATCCTCATGGCTGAAATTTAAACCCATTGGCAAGCTATCCCTCTGAACAACCGTATTCTGTAAGACGCTGGCACGTCCCCACTTACGATGACCAGTTTAGCCATCTGCATGTTGCAGGGAGATTTTTCTAGAATGGAGCAAATTTTTCAAACACGTCAGTTTCCATCCGACGAAGTAGAAGTAGAAGAGGTTATTGCACAAGAGTCACAAACGCAGCCACAAGCTCAAACGACTGGAAGCGGCACAAAAGAAAAAGGAATAGGAAAGGCAAGCTTTGACAAGTGGACAAACGAGGAGCAAAGTTTTCTAGTTGATCTCTGGGCTGAAAAACACAACCGTCTGGAAAGTAAGGACGCAAGGAAGGATTGGCTTGAAATCGGCAACGAGATTGAAATGAACTTTGGCACCAAAAAGACAGCCGAAAAATGCCAGCGAAAGATCAAGTATCTGATTGACAAATATTAAGACGCAAAGTCATGGAATAAGAGTCAGACGGGAGGTCACAAACGTAAAAGTGTTTTCTACGACAAAGTAGACCGAGTTCTTGGAACACGAGATATTGTTACCATGAAACATGTGGTCGAAGCAGGGACAAGCACTGCTTCTCCGTCTTCTCTGAGCGCAAACCCTCCAAGTGATCATGATGGCTCACAGCCAAGCACGAGCGGAACGCCAAGTCCTCCACAAAAAGTAGCATTGCTTCTAGTGGTACCAGTGGGACCAGCAAAGAAAGGAAGCGCACAACGAAGAGGAAAGTGCCGACCGAAGACGCTGGAGAGGAAGGGGCAGTTTCCATCAAGAAAAGCCTCGAGTCCATAGAAAAGCAAGGCGAAAAGATCACTTCGTTTATGGAGGGTATGCAGCAGAACCACGGCAAACAATTAGAAATGATGGCATCTTTCATGGGCTCTCCTCTGGAAGCCATAAAGGATGAAAAATAGATGCCTAGCAGTTTAACTTTTTACCAGTGGACTGTTCAATCTGATGATTCATATTGTTACAGTTTGTAGAGTTTATAGTTGCAAATATATCTTTGATTTTTTATTATTATTATCAACATGGTTTGATTCAGTTTATAATATTATAGAACAGTTTCGTCTTTTTGATCGTTTACAATCGTAGGAACATATTTGAATTCCATTTCAAATGATCAGACTTGATTTATTAAAGTAATTTTCGAGTGAAGGACGGATCATGGATAACATGCGTGATTCAATTTATTGTAATTTTAATCATTATTCAATGAAGTAAAAAATTAAGAACACGACAGCAATAGCAAGCAATCATAACTTAATTCTCGATTTTTTTTTGTTCTATATAGTTCACTGAAATTGTAATAGTGTACGAATTTTTTGTATTCATAAATTGTATTTGCGTGCTTTGAAAGGAAGAATATCAACTAAATGTTGTGGTTCAGTCACGCACTCTCTTAACACACTTCGAACATCGTCCCCATCCCTCACAACTTCATCGTTGTTGCTTTCATGTCCTTGCTACGAGGGTCATCATTTTCATCATCACTCCATTCGTCTTGATTCAGTAGACAAAAGTTGTGAAGGACTGCACAAGCAACAGCAATTTTGTTGGCAAATGAAATTTTACTATCCAGCCGTTTCCCCGGTATACGCCAGCGATTTTTTAACATCCCATAAGCGCACTCTACTGCTACCCTTGCACCAGACAAAGCTTTATTGAAAGCTGTTTCTTCTGGATCTCTCATTGCTTCGGGAAATGGTTTTCTAAGCCAGGAGGCAAGTGGGTATGCGCTGTGTCCAGCCAGATAGGGTTTGATATCATTACCCCCAATTTGCACTGAAGGACCCGTCAGAATCTGATCATGCTCTGCAAGATCAAATATTGTACTATTTCGTAGGACTCTCGCATCATGCATACTGCCTGGAAAGCCAGATGCAAAGTCAAGGAAGCGTTTCCCGCCATCGACAATAGCTTGAACAATGAAGTCGTGTTGTTAGTAGCGACTGAAATAGTCCACCGCACTGTCTGGAGGGGCAGCTATTCTAATATGGGATCCATCAATTGCACGAACAATGTTCGGGAGATAAGAAACATCTTGAAATGTCTCTTTGCAATGCCGTGTTTCTGCCTGTGTGACGGGAAACTTTATGTAATCATTCCTGAGGTTGAAAAGAACCTCCACAACATCTTGCACTGCTTCTAGAACAGTCGACCTTCCAACGTTGAAAACCGGCCCAATACTTACGTACGAGTTGCCGTGAGCTAGACGGAACAAACCAAGCGCGAGAACCTTTTCTGGAGAAATGCAGTCACGCAATCTCGTATTTTCACGAGTTACGGCTGGCCGTAAGACGTTCAACAGAATATCAAAGGTACATCGGTTCATTCGTAGTTGCTTCCTGAAATAATCCCCGGGAATCCTTCGGTCATTGTAGTGAATCTCAAACCAAGACTAGTTTGATCTTGGAAGTTTCCAAAAGTATGGGTTGTGTAGACGTGCCCGGCGTCTCTGTCTTCTACAGTATTAATCGTTAAGAGGGCCACTTGATTTCGAAGATATTGATGCCTCAACAACAGGCACACCATAAGGAGTATTTCGTCTGCCCTCTGAGCGATATTTACAAGAAAGAGGAATGCAACAAGTAACAAAATTTGAACGCGCTCTATTACCCGCCAGATGAAGTCAATGTTTTAGCGCGCAGCAGAATTAAATAAATTATAATGAAATATAATATTGACGGTGTTAACACAATTTGAAGACTTTAACCTTGTCAATGCGGATGCAACAGACGAGACAAAAATTGTCACGACAAAATTTGTCCTTGGATTTTGTCACGGACAATTGCGATTTTGTCTGCTAGCGCGGATCGGCCCTGAGGGCCGGCTGGCAAGTTATCAATCTGTCAACAAGTAGCTGAAGATAGGTGCGACCCTCAGTTTAAAAAAAATTTGCCAAAATTTTGCGAATTCCTTACATTTCCCCAATCTCTCACAGAAAACAAGGTTTCCACATTTTTTGCAAAAGAACTAATTTTTTTTAAGGGAAAGATGTTTTTCGTCTTGTCACGAGCGTGGTACAAAGAAAAAATTCTTAGTCTCCATGAGGATTGAAACCTCAGATCTTCGGATTTCGCGCTAGATGCTTCACCACTGAGCGTCCTGCAAACTACTAGGATCAGCAGGGTCGATAGTCATGGTCATGTTTGTAAATAGAATAAAAGAGATGGTAAGTTTTGAGCTTCGTAGAGAAATAGAGAAAGATGATCAGAAGAGACTTTACTGATCCTAGCAGTATGCAGGACGCGTATCTTATGAACTTCGTAATAGACCTCACTCAACGTAGAGTCTCTGTGGCTCAGTGGTAGAGCGTGGGTGGTGTGGAATGCCCCTTTGTTACCTTTGTAACCATTCTGTTACGCTCTGCCTGAACGCCCTAGCCCTAGCCCTTTGCTTGACGTCCTTAGGGACGACTTTTAAGGACACTATACGACCCCTCAGGCAATAAGATATGATGCTCGCCGGCCAATTAGAGAGATCATAGCAGCACATGAGACGTCACACTTGATTCTCAATAAGTTGAACCTTCCTGGGAAATTGAGAGAGATTCGAGAAATCGGTGCGCAAGTTATACATTAAGAACAAATAAATGTGAAATTGGTGTTCTCTGTATTTCTATTCGCGCAGAGTACATTTTTGTTACTCTGTAGAAAAGGTTGAATGATGTGGACCATTGTAAAAAGCTAGTTCCGCATGAATAAGAAAAATTTTCGGAGCATAAAGTACTGTTTAAAGTACTGTGGGACCTGTTGCAAAGGAGCTTCTCGCTCCCAGCTCTTAAAAAGGGAAAAAGCTTCGAGAGATCTTGAATCGAGAGGTTAGTGAACTTTTTTTGAGCAACTCGTCTGGTTAACTGGAACTAGGCAATTATGAGTTGAGTAAGGATACTTGGGAAAATTGAGCCTTTTCTAGTTTACTCAACTTGATATTTGCAAAGCTTTATTACTTTGTATGTTCACTTTTTTGGGAGGTTTGTTTGTGTAGTTGATTTTTTTCAGTACTTGTGTGGCATAAGTAGCTTCAAGAGAAAATCTTGGTGATTTTTTATCTAACTCGGGCGAGAATCGATGTTAAAAAGATTAAGTGTAAACAAGGCGTGGAATTGCGCCTAATACAGGCGCCAATGCGACTAAATTTTTAAACTTTGGCGACCAAATCCTGAAAATTAGTCGCCAAATTGGCGACTATAATTTTTTCATCATAACCTTACCAAGAGATATAGTGAATTAAAAGATTTGCAAAGATAAATCCGCGGCAAACTACCTCATTAACTTTGTTTCCAAAACGCGGCACATGCATCTCGATCGATAACTAGACGCCATCATGGATTAAGGTGAGCTTGAGCTTTGTATATCATCCATGCTACTGTCCACTGGCGCGTTAAAGATATTTTCCCTAACTTAAGTTTGGAGGGACTATCTAGAACGCTGACAGAAAGGTTTTGTTTGTCTTTAAAAGTGGGGACCAACATTTTTTGAATTGGCTACCACTTTGGAGAATCCAGGAGCCAAGTGGCCATCAGAAAAAAAAATTAATTTCACGCCCTGGTAAAGCGTGTTTAATAAACACGCGACGAACATTGGTGTTCGCGAATTTCTTTATTTCAAATCTAATTATAAAAATAGGACTGTATTTATCCTCGAGCACAGCTTTACTTTGCGACTTCCTTTTTAATTTCAGGCTCCGTCCCCAGCTCTGCCCAAAGTGAATACAACTGAGCGTCTGAGACAGCTGCGAGAGAAGATGAGAGCTGAGGGCGTACAGGCATACATTATCCCCTCTGTTGACCAGCACATGGTAAGCTATTTAAACTTGTAACTCCACACACAGGTTTGACAATAACATTGTTGCTCTCTTATTTATTTCAGAGTGAATATGTTGCAGATCACTTCCAACGACGTCCATACATATCTGGGTTCACGGGCTCCGCCGGCAAGTACTAGTAGTGTACTAATATATATCGGATATATGATGTTTGCTGTGCCTGATGTCTTACTCAAGACCAAGGGTGCATTTTTTCCGATAAGGATCGGCCCAGATTAGTAAATAACGTTTTTTTTTTCTGCTGTTTTTCATTTCCCGCTTTGGAACTAATGGCGTGAAAAAAATTTCGGACCGTGGTCGGTATTATAAAAAGCTGGACCGGCTACGAGCGCGTGTTTGGCCAATCAGATTCGATTATTAAAGATTCCTGCCCGTTTAGATGCTTCGGAAAAATAAAATATAATGCTATTCCGGTTGTCACTAAAATATATGCGCAAAAATTGATTTTGGGCTCGCAAAATAAAGGCTATGTCTAGAAATATTACTGTTCCATCTAAGAAGTAATAACTGACCGCAAATTAATAGGAGTGTTTTAGTCTATCTGATCACGCTTAAAACTAATAAGTAATTCTTTTGACCTGCGGATGGCGGATGATATACAGATAAAGAAATGATCTTCGCAGCTGAGCTGCACCTGAAAAAATTGTGGAAAAGAACCTGTAAAAATCCTCTCTTCGACGGGATTCGAACCCATTCTTCCTAGGCTTGTTTGTTGTTACCATCAACCGAGTTGCGATGCCTCATGTTGAGAGCGAGGTAAATCTTAGTCTCTGCCTTTTATTTCTATTGTATGTCACATGTAGGTGATGCAGTGGTAATAATGGACAAAGCTGGAATGTGGACTGATGGTCGGTATTTCAATCAAGCTGGTATGCAGATGGACGATAATTGGACCTTAATGAAAGACGGTAAGCTGTTCATAGTCCTTCATTTATAGTTAGCCTTTAACAGAACAGCAGGCATTTTTTAACCGAACTCGTTGCCCGAAAGTACTGGTTCTTGGTTAGGAACTTACCGGGTTCAAGCTCCCCTTTTCGTATGATATGCTTTTGATTAATGAACGATTATCGATGTTCGATCTAGGTATGCCAGGCACACCGTCGCAAGCAGAATGGCTCGCAAAGGTAATGAAGTGCTACCCTTATTGTATGTGGAAACATTTGGAGATTGCGCCATTATCGCTTGATTACGCATTTTTAAATATTCTTCATGTCCTATTATTTGTCACTGATCACCATAAGAAAATTAGAAGGCATATTTTTTTCTCTACAAATAACGTTCTTTTAGAAAAGTCCATACAAAAGGCTTTCTCTCTCTCAAGGATCAAACGACAGGGATAGTCTATGGCATTTTTCATGGCCAAGCCATCTCATCACAAATAGAATGAAAGTGGGTTTCCATTATTCACTCCAGTATAAACGAATCCAGTATGTACCTTTGTTTATAATCATGACGTCAACTAACATTTCATCCGCGTTTCATCCTCTTGTATGCTACTGGAAGGGTTTGGTTACAAATTTTCCAGCCCCAAAACTTTACGTTTTCAAATGCTTTATCTTACTTTAAGCATATGAACCTGCCCAGATTTCTTCAGAAGATTTTATTTTCCTTTAACTGTAAAGAACAATTTAGAGTCGGTTAACCTCTAAATCTAACTATTTTCTTATGCCGAAAGAACCAAATGTTCACAATAGTGTTAACAAGGGTTCACCTGAAGTTTTGTCCAATACGTTGCTTCTTGGAATTTACCAGCGTATCTTTGATCGTTTAAGGGAGATAGTATGACGAGATACGTGACTTGAAAATCTATAACTTTACTTATATCTAGAATATATCTTTCCTAATTTTCTTGTTGTCCGGTAATTTATTGTAGGAACTCAAAGCCAATGATAAAGTTGGAGTTGACGCCAATCTTTTCTCCATTGGTGAGTTATGAATAGTATTGAAACATTCAGAGCTATTTTAAATAGGGCATCCAAAGTAATCCGGAATTCCTTTGTATTCGTTTTGCTTCAAAAGCCCTCTGATTGGTCACTCGTGTTATTCCCTCAACCAGTAACGTGAAAAAGGTAAACAAATTACCCTGTAGTCACTCACGTCTGTGCCCGCTCCAGGTACTTCATTTGGGTTCTTATTGCCTCCCAGCCATATCCTCGTTGTCCAATTGGTTTTCAACTTTACTTAGGTCTTGCTTAAAGGCCACTTAGTCTAACTAAGCTCTGCGTGAGCTTGGAATTGGGGCTTAGGTGGTCCTGTGGGTATTCCACTGGTTAAGAATTCGGGGTAGTTGGAGTGAGTTACACGATAAATATAAATGATACCAATGATAATGATAATATTGTTTGAAATACTTTGATTTTTGCAGATAGGTTTGAGACCATGCACAAGGTAGGTAGAAATGAGGGATACTTTTAGACAATTAATCCACTTTAGTCGAAGATTACGAGTACGTTACGCATTGTTAAAGTGAATTACATGTCCCAACATACTGTCTGGATCATCTCCCTTGAACAGTTTTGTAAAGTACATTTAAAGACATTTAACTGTAAGAACGAAACCTTTGAGAGTTGGACAAGAATCAAATGTTTGAATTCTGAACTGTTGATGTCGGATTCGCGATAAGAATGATCTTTCATTGTCTCATATAGCTTTCGCTGTTCAATTTTATATAGGAGCTTGCAAAGTCCAATATAACATTGACGGCTGTTACTGAGAATCTTGTGGACGAAATATGGACAGAAGGCAGACCACCTCTGAGCAACGCTACAATATTTGTCTTGGAAATGCGGTACACAGGTTGGAAATACTTTGTATTTCATAATAAATGCATAGTGCGACGTTTGCTTTCTTCGTTTCCTTCAGTCTTTTCCTCCACCTTTTCTGTACCATCCGTGTTGTATTACTTTATATTTCTGTTTAATTTGTTTCAGGGAAGTCGTGGGAAGACAAAATTAAAGACCTTCGCGAGCAACTGATCTCGAATAGGGCGACTGCGTTCATTGTGTACAAACTTGATGAAGTAGCTTGTAAGTGACTTACCTTTGGTATTGGATTTTCGAAAACGCGGCAGTAGAGAATTAATCCCGCTCGTATTCCGTCGCCCCAGCACTAAGGACTTACAGGTCATGACACTTGCTTCAAACACAAATGTCTTGTTTTCTAATTGGCTTAGAGCATGAAAACATGTCAGGGCTTTCTCCTGAGAAATCGAAGGCCGGGATACAGTACTTAAGTGCTTGAGTGATTTTGTATTCCAAAAACTGATAGTCATACTCTGAAGACTGGGGATAAAGCTGACTGAGGCCTGTTCTACGTCCGCCTTTAAATAATGATATTTGATTCTTATTCGTAACATCCAAGTGAAGTGACAAGCGACAATCTGTCTCTTTATACCAGGGTCGAACTTATTTTTTTAGGCGTTCTATGCGTTTTTTTGGGTCTACCTAAGTATGTCTTTGGGCGTTCTATGCGTTTTTTTTTTTCGTATATTCACAACTCGATATTGTAATGTTGAGTACAATTCGATGGGTCCCTGATATTTAGGTGATACAGATGGATAATTTTCGTGCGCCACCCAACCTGATTCTTTTAAGGCCATTACGTGCTCGTTGTTGTGGGTAAATTTCCGAATCGGGTTGCAACCACCTTCATGTTCACGGCACAGTCTTGCAGAAGAAGCCTGGTCTCGAATTCGCCTATTTAACATTTAGTGAATATGTATTATGGAGGCGAAGGGTCTGAGAGAGGTATGTACATGGAATGGATTTTATGATGTGATTTGATGTTATTAGGGCTGTTGAACCTAAGAGGAAAAGATGTTCCATCCAACCCTTTCTTCTTCGCGTTCGTCATCGTCACCAAGGACGAAGTAAGGTAAGTTCGAAGTTGGATTTGGCCGCAAGCATGTCAATGGAACTGTCGACTGCAGATGTTGTTATTGTTAGATATTGTGCAATTTACACATAGATTAACATTAGAGCTGCACCCAGAAACAGTCTTAATAAATACGTCATAGAATTAGTGAAACCTGGAGAAGAGATAAGATAATTTTCTGAAAGATTATGGGTAGATTGTTCGTTACTTTCGATATTATAAGGGCCCGATCAGTCCAAAGGAATTTGTTTTCGCCAAATCTGCTATATTCTTTAGAAAAAGCGTTGTTTGATTAAATAAATTGTCTGCCTTGAAATATACCGGAGACCATTTTAGTTTTCTTTTCAATTTCTGTGGATTATGCTTTACTCTTGTTAGCCATATCTTAGCAAAGAGTCACAAAACGTCGCCTAGTTAATCGAATATTTTTTCCTGTTCAGAGTTTACGTTGATGATTCCAAGTTAACCAATGACGTGAAGAAACATTTAAAAGACGTTGAAATAAGTCCTTACAACACATCCGTTCTGATTGCTGACATAAAAGCAGAAGCAGTTAAACCCAACGCAAAGATTTGGGTAAGTTCAGGTGGTCGTTACTTCTTCTGAGTTTTACCCTTTATACTTCGTTGTGCTATGGTATAACATTGTTCCTACGATATGAACGGTTAGTGAATTTAACAATTAGCGTATTCACCCTAGATTTCTATGTAAGTTTGCCGATGAGGGTAAAACCCTCAACGACGGCAGAAACCTTTAGCTCATAATTTTTTGGTTGAATAGATCATAACAGCTTTCCTATTGCCTTGTAAAATGATTCAGACGTCAGCAACGCCGAAATGAGACGTACCAGTGATAAGGTTTTTTTTTTTATTGACGAACAACTCACATACATCGATTTCAAGATAATATTTCATTGAAATGTAATAGCTGTTTATACCGGTAATGTGGCGTGACCTATGACCTTTTCTTATCCCTCGAAGCTATGATCAATATGTCCTACATCAGTCACGTGTCACAAGCGCAGTCCCGATGCTCCCACACTTCATTTCGCTTATAAGGAGAGACTCCAGCTAAGCCCTGAATCTTGGCGAGCGCAATTCTATCTGCCAATGCTTCTTTGCTGGGTAGAGACTTATCCAGGGTAGTAGATAGCGTTCCACCGCCATCAAGCAGTTTACGAGCAACTAGCTGTAAATTTTCGCTTTGAGTTATAATGGCGGTGCAGCAGCGGTTGCCTAAGTGACGCCCAATTTCTGAGGTGCCAGATCAGGAGTATCCCCCATAGCTTTACGCGTGGTGTTTTAAACCGGATTGTTTTTGTGTGTTTTGGTCACTAGTTGAGCAAGTATGCCAGCCCTTACTCTGCCATGGACGCAATTGGTAAGGTAGGTAGTACACTTTGCAGCCTAAAGTTGTAGAGATTTCGTACATAGACAGTTTATCAGTACACTTTCACTTTACCGTCTTGGTGGTTATTAAGTAGACATTATACTCAAAAGTTACTTGTTTACTTTAAATAATAGCAAGACAAGGTACTGTTGAAGGACTCACCCATAGCATTGCCAAAGTCAATAAAAAATTCCATAGAAATCAAAGGAATGAAGAACGCTTACGTAAGTCTAACGTTGTTTTCTGTTTATAACATTTTTAACCACAATTTAGTTTCTTGAGTTCTTTCTCCGGTGGCCGTTTTCCGATGGAACAACCCTCCACCTCGCAGTGTTAACTATTCTCCGGTTTCAGTACGAATACAAGTCGTAGGAATGGCTTCAATGGGAAGGAGCTGCAAGGGAGCGAATGGTCTCTACAAGTCTACTCGTTTAGCTGTACCTAACTATACCTAGAAATTGCCACCAACCACATTCTGCTTTTTGACGTCTGTAATTTGTGGTTGAAATTTAACAGGGTTCCCACTGTAGAACTATAAGAGACTTAAGACTGTATGTTCGAGAGATGAACAGAAACAGCTTATTTTTCATTCAAAGGAGCTTCTGCTCCATCTTTGTAACTATTTGAACAATTTCCCCTTACTTTCTCCAATTTTTCTATTGAGCCCTGGACTCCAGGCTTAATAATCAACCGCTGCTCGGGAAAGGAGCCTTCGCTTTTCCCTCGAGAAACGAAGACTAAAGTCGTGAGAGCGACAGAAATCGAACCAATCCTGGCCTTTAATTCGATTATTTTTCACTGTTCCTACTTGGATGACTAGTTTCTCTGACTTCTGCCGAATCATTCCTGTTTAAGTGTTTTGTCTCCTTTCTAATCGTGTACACCTCTGTTCAAAGCAAAAACCGTTCAGCAAATCTTTCTATCTTATCATCTTATTATATTGTTTCGTTTTAGCTCAATAAAAAATTAGTTATTTTCGGTGAAGTTAACAGAGACACGTACCTTTCTTTTTCTGCAGCTTAAAGACAATGTTGCTATGGTAGAATTTTTCTATTGGTTAAAGAATGAGGTAAGTAAGTGTGAGGTAAGCATACTGACTTACGAATACTAAAAAATAACTTTGAGGAAGAAAAGGGACTCAGTGAGCCGGGTTAGGAACGATCTAATGAATGTCCGAAAAAAAAAGTTTATTTCAAGCACTTTACTGCATTTCAGGCCACCGTGGTAGACGTTTGTCAGTAGTATCAGGTTTTTATCAAATTCGTATTGAGACACTTGCAGACTCGGGGACATATATTGTTCATTTTGTCGTGCGTCTCACATGACGTGGAAATTAGTTGCGTTTTCTTTCTTTTTTCCTTTGCTCCTTTTGGTGTTATTATTTTTTTATTAAAAAAAAACAACTCTATGTCAGCTTGTAGAGTGGTATGTTGCTCGTACCAATCAGATTGCCGCTTTAGGGTATGTATCTCGCACCAATTATATCACGGCATTTGGATCTTGCACCAATCACAGCGTTTGGGTGTTGTATTCTTGTAAATTATGTCATGGAATCAGGGGGCCGTGCACAGAGAATGATCTTAACTAGAAATTTTGGGTTCATTTGATAAGTGTAATGGTTGTGGCCTTCGCAAAACCCCCGTCGATTGAGGTCGAGATTTATCGGGATATGAAAGGTTCGCATTTAACTTAACGTATCATTTCTAAGTTAAAAAGTGATTTTTTTTTCGCTCCTTCTCTTACAACGCACCCGCTAAACAACTTACATTCCATCACAAGTAAGAAAACAATGTCCAAAGTCCCATCAGAACATACCCAATTATTGCACTAAATGAACATTAGACAATTTTTCACGTGCTTGATATGTATTCCACCAATCAAATTCATTTTTGCCACATAAGACTTCCGTCCATCACGTGCCATTTCTTATGCTGATAACAATTTTTACAAAACCTCCAATGGGCTTTACAAAAGCCACATGAGCTTTATCTTGAATGAAAATTAATTTAATTAATTAATTTTTCGAAAAACCTTTTCACCGGCTGTAATACAATTAGAACCGGAAAACATAAATTTAATTTTGTTGGTCACCGTTGGACTTTTCATGTGCAAATGAGTTGCTTGCGCGAGTTTTACTTTTGCTTGCCATGATGACTCCGCAGAACGCCTTGCTTTTAAGGCAAGTCAAGTATAAGAGTTATGTAATAGCTAATTAGGCACTTTAGGAGGAGACAGTCCTAAGAACGCTATCATGATCACACAGCACCTTTTGCATCCAGGTAAATTTGATTTCCACGATCTGATGACAAGTAATTGATAAATAAGTGCAAAAAAATGTTTTAAATTTACAGTGAAGAGTTAATATTTAGTTGAGGTTGATAATTTTTCTCATGACGATTTTCCTTTTTTAATTTCGTACTTTAAGTAGCTGGGTACTCTGTTCAAAGTAGACGGGTGCCGTTACCCGGGACCCGGCTTTTAATAAAAACCCTTGAAGGGAAAAAGAACAGATAAGCAAATTCCAATCAAGGAGCCCTATTTGAAATGTTATCCTTTTCTCTTGTTCAGTGTATCCTCACTTATTCGAGATCGCAATAAATTTTTGGTTAGGGTCTATAGGAGATACAACAGAGTTTCAGTTTAAATTACGTGGAATTAGATTTTTGAGACGACCAACTAATAATTTTGATTTTTTCTGTTAGAGGAACTAATGTAAGCGTAGTCCCTTCGCAACCGTTATTTGATCTCGTCACGCAACGCGCTCACTCCCCAACGGGGAATATAAAGCGTTGTGTGACGAGGCCAAACAGTGGCTGCGAAGGAGGCTACAGTAAGCGTAGCACCGATGCATTTTATTTTTGCTCAGAATTATTTAAAAAAGAGAGACAATAGACCACAAAATACCTGTTTGAGTTAAGATCAATTATGTCTTTCCTCTTTCTCTTGAAGTGAAGTAATGCGATATTTTCGTTCTTTTGAAAGTTATAAAAATATTAGGAACAAAGTGTCCTATTACGATCTACCCAGCTAAAAAAATAACTCTTTCATGCTACGCATGCCCATGTTTAGTTTAAGTTATCATCATCGATTCTCTTAATCAAATTTGTATTTACCTTCACTTTAAAAGTATTTATCTGTTGGACCCAAGTCAAGCACTCAACAGAACACAACCTGAATAAAAAATAATCAATAACACTTCAAGCTCAAACCTCTCTTTGAGAGAATGTAGAATTCACCATAATTACGGCCTTTATAAATTATCTTAACCGAGCAATTATGACGTGAACAGCTGTTTCTGTCTTCGTTTGAAGGTGGCTAAAGGTAACAGCGGTATCACAGAAATGTCATCGGTGACTAAACTGGAAGAATTTAAAAGGTGAACACCCTGTGGTTTTGTAGCTGTTGTGACATTTTTGATCAGTAACAACACTGAAGAACTTAAAAAAACAAGTGCATACCCTCAAGATGGCAGCTTTGTTTAAATCACCATCGATAGTGGGGTTTATTAGCGAATATTTATCCATCTCTAGTTGTACTGTCTTTGCGATTTTTTGTATTTTTTACAACATCGACAGTGTCTGTGTTAAACACTTGTCTATGAAGGTAGATATGGCACCAACTGGTCTGCTTTTTGATTTACGGTATTTTTTTCCACTTTTTAAACATTAACATCTTAATATCATTGATGATATAAGCGCACAGGAAGGCTATCAAGGCTATAGTTTCGACACCATCGCTGGGTTTGGTCCAAATGGAGCCATTATTCATTACAGGTAGGTAGGTGCACGAGTTCTGTGAGATTTATATGACTTTTTGTATTTTTTATTTATGCCAAGACCTGCAAAGTACTGCAAAAATACCACTAAGATTAGCCTAGTAAGTAAAACTGAAAAAAGGCAAACTTTAAAAGATCAACGCAACCGCCGTGGACGACTTCTTCTCTAGAGAAAAAAAACCTAATTTCTACCCGTTTGATGAGATTATTAAGTTCCACCAACGAGGAATCGTCAGTATTTCGTTTTTCAATGGTACTTTGTGCCCTGATACATAGGCCAGAGGAAGGAACAAGCTGACATTTTAACAACAAAAACGGACGCTTTTTGTGACTTTTTCTGTTATCAGGGGAATAGTCTTAACAGGCTGGTATAGTTTTATTTTAAAACGCCTTAACGAACATTATTCGGCTTCCAGTTTAAGTCTGTATTTCTATTTTCATTACAGAAGCCTCTTCGGTGCATTTCTTCGATCTTTAGTCTAGAGTTTACAAGTCAGAGTTAACAAGTCCTTGTCTGACAATTGTAATTAAATCGTAATCAACGTTTTTCACGTGAAATAACAACAGCTTACGAAGGTTTCACTCATAAGAAGGGATTGCTGAAAAATGATTTAAATAAGGTTGTTAAATATTTTCTTTTTGTTACTATTTCGCTTTGGTGTGCTTTGTATAGACCAGAGGAGAGCACAAACTTGAAAATCACAGATGAGAACACCTTCCTAGTTGACTCTGGATCACAATTCTTGTAAGTATCGAAGTAGCAACACTCGGACCACATTTATTGACCATCTCAAATGCGTAGTTTTGTTTGGTAACAGTCATCTACACTCTCTTACGGAAAAAAATTGTAGAGCTTAGATAATAATGCGAAATGCGTAACCATAAATCCTTCACTACTTTAATTGCATTTCTGCAGAGACGGAACAACGGATACAACTCGCACGGTACACTTTGGAACACCTACACCCCATCAAAAGGTACAGTTGCACTAGATTTCCTGCGTATTCTCCTTAATGGACCTCGTTTAAAATCTCGTAGCACAGTGTCCTACATAAACATGGTCTAGAAAAAAAGGTTGCACAATATCTACAGAAGGACACTTTTGCTACTTAAGGATTCCATGCGCACCAAGATTTCCCTACCGAGTGTCTCTTTCGTAGTATGGAGAAAATTATGGCAAGCTTGTCTATGACAACTTCTTTACTTGACAGTTGACTAAACCTACTTTTGGAGTGAAAAATTGTTAAGCAACAAAACCTTTTGGCTACGGCACTTGCTAAGCGTAGATGACCGATGAAGAGTTTCATCGAGGACACTGTAGAGGCTTTGAATGGAATTTGTACTTTAAGACATTTGCTTTGTCTAACACTGATTATCGCGCTCTACCATTCTTAAAACACCAAGGAAAGCAAAACTTAAAATAGGGGTGACACTAATCCACAAGTTTTGTGACCAAAACCATTTCCTCACCCAATCTTTTTACACGGAAAAGGTACTGGATGACTACGAGTTTAATTTGCCAATCGATTTAATTTACAGGATGCCTATACACGTGTCTTGAAAGGTCAGATTGACCTCGCTTTGACTGTGTTTCCGGAAACCACTCAAGGTTTGTAGTGTTGCTCCCGTAATGGATGATAGAGGTGCAATAGAGTTTTTTGGGAGTTAAAAAACCTACTTAACTGGCTATGGACGCAAGTTAATGCCATCCCACGTTCTCGATAGGGCGCTTTCTAGATGTTGTCGCTCGAAAAGAACTGTGGAGAAATGGTTTGGACTACAGACACGGCACCGGACACGGAATAGGAATGTTTTTAGGTGTACATGAAGGTGAGGCCAGAGAAATGGTTAGAGTAACTAAAGCTGATAAAGCCAGTCAAACCGTTAATAAATGTCACTAATCTACTATGTAGGGCCACAGAAGATATCCATTGGCTGTCCAAAGCCTTGGGAAAAACCCGTCGTTCCTGGAATGTTCCAGTCGGATGGTAAGCTTACTGTGATCTTCTCCACAGCCAGAATACCTTTTTAAAATTTTATCAGAGTTTTATGCCTCATACTCCTATTTGAATGCGGAAGAAACAAAGAACAGAAAGGGTGCGTACACAAATCGCATTCTTCTGGATCCTGAATTTAGGAGACGTTGGACGAGTTACATGGCAGTAAAGTTCCATTTCCTTTTTATGTTCCCATGCGGAGATATTGGATGATTCCTTTTTATTTAGAACCAGGGTATTATGAGGACGGAAAGTTTGGTATCCGACTGGAAACAGTGATCATGGCTGTCGACGCTGAAACTAAGGTGAGACGAACGGTCACGCCTTCCTTTAAATAACCAGGAAAGCTGGATGAAACTTTTAGTACGAATCCTTCGCAACAATCGTCTCAGCTCGTCACTGAACTCACATCTTGATGCGGAATGGGACGGTTTCTCATGACGAGCTCAAACGACATCTGCGAGTCTTAAACAATAATTTTTAAATACACTTTGACTATGGATGTTGGTGTGACAACAGCAGCGAGAATTTTTAACACAAGTTACCTTGTTGTTTTATATCAGCTAAAGCCTTACCTCACATGGAGTCACATAACTATTTCATTCTTCAATTAGTCATTAAAGAGGTTTACTCGCTTCCAAAATCTTCTGTATAATGCCTGTCTGTCATTTTGCAATCGCTACTGCTCATTGACAACAAAATTATGAAACAAAAACCTCTTACTCCACTACACCCTTCTTTCATAGGAAGTAGAAAATGTTTAGACCTTTCGTCAATTAACGACACTATAGTGATTGATGTTATTCGTTGTCTCTCTCTCTCTTTCTCAGAACACCTTCAACGATGTTAAATACGTGAAATTTGAACCTGTGTCCTTTGTAAGTACAAAAACGTTACCTTTGTAATCAGAAGACGGAATCATAATGAAATGTTACTTTTAACTCTTAGTTTTACCCCACCGTTTGGTTCTGTCGAGCTTGGACTTGTCGTAAATTACTCGAACATTTGTGTCTCTCTTCCCTCGGCTGTTGGAACGTTTTTATTCGTAATGAGAGAAAAAAAAGTCATCATGGAGGGTGAATCACACAGCCGGGTGGGATGGGCTGAACCTATAGTTCAATGGCAGTCGTGAACGAGCATAACGCTGGTGGGGAAAACCGTTTTTCGTCTTGGGACAAAGAAAAAAAAGTATAATTTCCCACGAAGAATCGAGCCTCAGACCTTCGGATTTCGCGCTCCGATGCTCTACCACTGAACCACAGTGACTCTGTGGTGAGCAATGCAGATTACGAAGTTCTCATATGACACGGTAGTGTATCGGAGTATCGCAACGCGGAATCCGAAGGTCTGAGGTTCGATTCTTCATGGAATCTCCTCTCATATTTTCACGGAATATCCTCTTCATATTTTCTTTACCGAGGTCAAAACATACCATCTTTCTTATTATATTTACAAACATGAGGCTATCGACAACGCTGATCCTAGCAGTATGCAGGACGCGTGTTAGATACGAACTTCGTAATGGGCTTCACCCCTGATGGAGTCTCGGTGGTTCAGTGATAGAGCATAGAAGCGCGGAATCCGAAGGTCTGAGGTCCCAATCCTCATGGACACTCTGAATTTTTTCTTTGTACCACGCTCGTGACAAGACGGACAACATCTTTCTCTTTCCCGAGCACACACTTTTTCTTTTACTTTTTCTTTCCAGAGTTCAAACTTACCACCTTTCTTATTCAATTTACAAACATAACGCTGACGTAATACGGAAGTTGTGTCTAAACAGAGTTTAATAAAAGAAGTGTTTTTCCAGTTGTTGACTTACGCACCAAACGGCCGAGAAGCCAATCTCAGGTCGCACCTGATAGATCCTTAATTTGACGCATGACGAAAGAGTGTGTTGTTTAACCAGATTTTAGTAGCCGAGCACATGAAAGCACTGACAATGATAGACATGTGTAATCAACAGGTGCCATACTGGAAGAAACTGATCGACGTGAGCATCATGACTCCCAAGGAGGTAATTAATATTCCTCAATCTAAGTGATCTCTCATGCTAATGGTTCCCTCGCAGCAGTAGTTTAGGCTTGGCACGCAGTAAGCTTTGATAAGAGTAGGAGAGAATTGCGTGACCATTCCAGGCGACGGTTGGCAACTAGGACGTGGGGGAGGTGTTTATTTTGCATAGTTGTGGACCTTAAATGAAGTGTCTCACTACCTGATTTCTCGTCTAACTTATTATTCCAAATTATTTCCTTTAAATGATTGTAAATATTTTATTTACGCTTTGTCTGCCTCGAACAGTTTTTATCCGATTACCTCCATAAAATGAATTGGAGTCGAACGGCTGCTTTGCCGGACGGCTTCACATAAACAAGCCGTTCAGAATCATAAAAAAGTATCAAAAATTGACTGGTTATGACTACTCCTTCCCCTCCTTCTCCCCTCCTTCCACCCCTCTCTCTTTCCCTCTCGACCAAATCTCCTCCCGTCCGTACCTCTCGAGAGAACAGTAGACTATTAACAGTCTAAATCTGAATTAAAATTTTAAATCGTAACGGAACAAAGACATCAGTGACTGACTTATTTGCTTCTTATCGCAGATTGATTGGTTGAACGATTACCACAAACAGTGCCGAGAAAAGGTTGGCAAAATGTTAAAAGACCAAAAAAAGGAGGACGTTTATAAATGGTTGGTGGAAGAAACTGAACCAATCTCCACGACAAAAACAGAAGTAAATGGTGGGCAGATGCTGGCGGTCTCTCTTGTAACGATCTCTTTTTCTTTCCTTTCCTTGTTTTCCCTTCTGTAAAGTAACATGCTAATTGACAGAATGCACGTCCATGGTAGTAAGGATTTTCAAAAGCCAGGTAGCATTAGAATAGCCATTTCGTGGGAAAAGGGAGTCCTCTTTTATCATTTCGATCAAGTTGTCAGTTTTTAATAGCATAAATGTTATGGTTCAATTTTTTTGTTTAGTCTTAAAACTTCTAAACCAATTTAGTTTGGATGTGCCTGTATCTCAGATCTATAACCATAATCTCAGTTTTAGTCATTTTTGTTTTGCACTTGTACCTAGAGCAGGGGAAAGTTCGTTCGTTCAAAGTTCGTTCTACTTAATGTACTTATGGTATTTGCTGCATCCAATAAAGACATATATCCGAGTGTTCCTTGACTTTGTTATGATTATTTTCCAACTACCAAGTTGACCTGACCTTGACAGTGCGATCGAAGGTAGTGTGATACACATATTCTATGTGCTTTCCAGTTTACGGAAGCTTGACGGTAACAAAAAACAGAGGCTGTAACTTCAAATGTTGCCGTTGTTTATTTTTTTTTTTTGGGCCAGGATCGTACGTTGTTTTTGTCAAAGCGTTTCTGTTTGTGACTCTGGATTCTCTCCACGAAAAAAATAGAAGAAAGAAAACGAGAAAAAAATTGATAACCTCTGATTCGTTGATACTATTCATTATAACAGCAGAAATTTTGGGTGAACGCTAATAAACCTATCTGTCGTATTTCACGAATTTTCCAACGGTACAAAAATGGGTTCAACGAAGAGTTCACCAAAATTATAGTTTGACAGAGACATCTTGAGGGTTTTGTCCACTCTTTTAATATGAATGGCAATAAACACTCAAAAGAATGGGAGATAACATAGAATAAATGCGGAGAACTCGTGGAACATGTTGTAGAAGGTTTGTTTATAGCGATTTACACTACAACTGAATTTTGTCCTTTGTGGATGATTCGAGTAGGCGTCTCTAGGGTTCACCACACCTAAACGGCCATTTTGTTGTTTAAGACTCGGGTAAATCTTCAAGTATGGAGCGGTCGTTAAGATCAAGAACAGTGTTAGTACAGCATTAGCAAAGGCGTTGTAAGAGTTGCGATCCCACAGAGGTAGCGACATTCCTGCAATGGTGAGTAGCCATAACAAGATAAGTAAGGTGACAAACCGTTTCTTCTTGACTAATACACAATATCATCGTCCCGATCGAAGACACGGTATATCATCCCGATCGTCCGTCAGGAATCAACCTGCCTGTTCATTGCCATTAAAACGGCTGCATGAAGAGGGTGGACAATTGCACCAGCTCCAAAATCGGCTAATGCCAAAGTGAACAGAAAGGCCTTGAGCACCGAATGTACCTATAGAAAGGAAAGTTTCCAAAACGCAACGATGATGAAAGTGTTACCAATAATTGCCACAACAGAGAAAACGGTGTTGACAGCAATGTCGACTATGTACCAAGTGAGAGGGATATCAGAGTGTATTTAGAGGCCATTTAAGACAACAGAGAAGTTGTCAGCCATTCTTTGTCCATTCACAAATACTGATACCTCCAAGCTGAAAGTGAATACGAGAAGACCTAACTTCCAGCGAACCTATGCTTATTGAGGAAAAGCTCAGAGCTCTGACTTTACTGAAATTAATCGCCTGATTTTCTTTTAGTACACAGATAAGTTTTAATCAGTTTGATTTCATTAAACAGTTGTAGAGGTGACAAAAGTAAATGGGAAATATCCGTTTGTAGTATAAATAAAATGTACATTGCGTTGATTTAATCAATAGTTACCTTTTTGCAAATAAATTGTTTTCTGAAAATAAACAATTAGGGTTCAAATTGAAACGAGAAACCTGCAACGTGCTATCAACGTTATAATAGTATAAGGGAGCGCAAATTAATTGTATTCGTGAGTATTCGACGGAGACACGAGTGATAAAGTTTTCTGTTTGCCTGGTTGTTGTCGTTTTCCGCTCCCTTTACCTTTTTGTGGCCCGTTTGCAAGTGTTTCTGCAATTTTGTTTTCCTTATGAACTTCCGTCAATGATCATCAGTACTTTTCTTCATTCGTTTCATGCAAACGTATAAACAACCGAGAAGAACTGGGAAGAACTACTAATTGATGTGGGAGCAGCGCTTATCTATTGGCTATTGACCACTAAGCAGAAAGTGACTGATTACCTTTCGATGGCCATCTGGTTTGGTGCACGGGTTGATTTAGTACTAACTTTCATTGGGAAGAGATCCAGGATTGGTTGAGGTTCAAAGTCTTAAAAAATACTTTAATAAAATACTTTAAACATCAGCAAAAGGATGCGCCTCTCATAGAGATAATCCATTGGAAGCCACTTAAATTCCTTCAGAGTAGTGCTATCACTGTCGATTGACTGTACTTTGTTTATAATGTG